AAACCATCGAAGCAGAGGTTCGGTCAAATCTTTCAAAAAATGCTTCACACGGAGTAGTCAAACGGACAAAAATCGCTCGTATCCGCTCACTTTATCTTTGTACGAAAACTCTTCGTGTTTTCGAACAAAGAGGGGCAGCTGTGAGCACGTGATTTTTACTTTATAACAATTACTCCAAAAGAGAAAAAAAAGTAAAATAATTTTCCTTTACATGCAATTTTTGAGAATTTTTTGTGGTATTTTATTAATTATTTGCATTTTTGTGCGTGCATGTTTATTTTTTCTTAATTAATGAAAAATACAAAAAAAAATAATATATGTGCATGTGCATTTAGTAATTAATTTTGCAATTTTAGAATTAATTAGTCATATAAAAGGAAAATACAAAAAAAATACCCTTAGGATTTAATTTTATAATTTGTGGGTTAAAACTTAAATCATAATTTATTTGGCAATAATCGGAAAATCATAAAAAATAGGCATTTTGTATTTTTTGTGTTTAACTGTGATTTTTGTACTTAACCTAATATTATTTAAGTTAATTTGGCTTTTTATAAGTTAGAATAGGATTTTAGGTTTTTAAATTTCGAAAATTAGTTTGAAAAAGAAAAAAAAAGAAACAAATTAAAAGAAGAGAAGGAAATCGGACCAGGCCCAATAATCATCAGCCCAATTCAAACATCACTTTACCCGGTCCAATTGGCCCAAGCCTCACAGACGTCCCAAACGACGTCGTTCTGTCATGCCCCATCCTGACCGTTGATCTCACTTGATCAACGGTCCAGATCGTCCAACCCTCACCCACATCCGTTATCCGACCCTGACCCGTTACTAAACCGGACCGCCCTATCATTTCTTTTAAATCAGAGCCGTTGAATCCCATCACCCAACGGCCCAGATTAAGAGATCAATTTTTAATATGTCAAAGACCCCCCAAACCCCTTTACCCGTCTCATTTCCAAACACCAACACCCCTTCGTCTCTTTCAGAGATTAACCAAACGACCTCTGAACCCTAAGCGTCGCCCATCCATCCCCTCACCGTAAACCCGGCGGCAACTACTCCGAATCCGACCAAAATAACACACCTGAACCGCCAAAGCACCCTCTTTCCAAAACCTTGAACCTTATTCTTCGAATCCTCGTAGAACCCTTCGAATATTGGATCGAAGATGAACCCTAAAATCCCAAAAATGGGCGAGTGGGGGTTATTGTTAACGGATTAGGTCCGTTTGGACTTTATTCTGGTGTTTTGCTAAAACAAAACACACGAATAAAGTCCGAGTGGACCAAAATTGGAGAGATGTGGAAAATTCAAGTTTGTTCTTGCTTAGATCGATTTCAGGTACTTCTGTTTCCATTTTTCTTGTTTATTTTTAGTCGTTTGATGTCGTCTTGTTCTCCTACTACCCTTTCTTTTGATTTCTTTTTCTTCACAGTTTCGTCGGTTCAACCTGTATAATTAGGTCGATTGTTTGGTTGTTCGTATACGGTTATCGACTATGAATCAATCGTATGTTAGTTAATCCGTTATGAATTAGATACGAATGTTAATTGATAGTTAAAACTTTACTGATTCTGATTTTTAGGTTGTGTTGGAATTTCTGTTTGCATTTTTTTTTGTTTAAGAATTCGATTCGCTTTGCTGATGCTCGACTCATTAGTTAAGCTCACTGTTAATTGATTTTGTTTGGGCTTGTTTAATCCTAATATGCTTACTGCTGAGTTTTAATGGATAATTGGATAGTTTTGAATTAGGAAGCAGTGGCTGAGTTAAAACTTTTGATCACATTGTGGTTGAAGTTCAGTCCAGAATTTAGGAAGTTGAATTGGTTATAGCTGCAGTTTTAATGTAGATTTCAGAGTTTAGTTTGGGATTTGAAAACCTAAAAAGGGTTTAGATTAAGTGGACTGTCAGTTGAGTATGTAGTGAACCATTAAATTAATGAATAATTTAATCAAAAGAGGGAATCTATAGTGCAAATACATCCTGGCTGACATATTTAAAGGTGGGAAGTCAGATGTAGGATGAGTTTTAATAATAAAAGCTGAGAATGCACATGGAATAGGTAGTGAAACTTGTTGTACAGTAGGATATGCATTACTTTTTGAACTTCAGGAGATGTTAAATAAGAAAACCCATGCCTAGACAACAAAAGATGGAAAGGACAGATTAGGAACTATACTTTAAGTCTGGGCGGCCTGTTTATTTTGAAGGGGGAGGGCTCCTCTTTTCAAAAGGCCTATAAAATCAAATGAGAGGAGACCCCTGGCATGGAAGAACTTCAGCCATAAAAAGATTCCCATTGAAAAGTCTCACTGACTTTTCTCAAAAATTTGAAATTTGCATTTGACATTCAAATATACAAAAAATAAAAAAACACACTAGAAAACAGAAAACCAAAACATTTTTTCACTGCTTCATTGCTCATTCTAATCATTCTTTCAAATTCCTTTTTTTTGGATTGCTTCATCCCTATTCTAAGCTCTAATTCTAAAGATATTTAGAGGTGTTTAATGGTTTGTTAGAGTGAATTTGAGTCTACTTAGCTTGGATTTGGTTGAGTTCTGATCCAGTGAAGTCCTGAGGCATCTAAGTTCAATTTCGAGGGCTTTGAGTGCATTTTGAATGTGTGTTGGATTGATCTGTAGGAATCTGCTTGATTAGTGAACATTTCTGGGTTTTAAAAATCACTTCCTGGATTGCTCTTTGATTTTGTACTGCTGGATTTTGGTTGTTGTTAGCTGCTCATCTTACTGCATCTGCTAACCTCTTCTCCTTCCCTTTGTTTCAATTCCAGGTACTTTGCTCAACTGTGACTGATGTTTGTGATATCAAGCTTGATATAGCCAATTGAAAAAGAAATTGAAGTGCCAGTTGTTTGCCCGCTTTAGCTTGCATACAGTTTTTATTTATGTTCATGTGAAATTTTAAAATGTGTATATCGACTGGATTGTCTAAATTCGTGAACTGTTGAATTCTCTTTTGTGAGTTGGTAACATTGATTTGATTGAGCTGTATCACTGGTGTAGTATAGTGCAATATAGGATAAATGAATTTGCTTCTCAATAATTACCAAAAAAAATAGGTTAAACAGTTTGGTGTTTTAATAGACCGTTTTCAGTAATCCAAATTTGAAGTCATGAACCACTTGAGCACCAATTCAGTAACACTAGTTCAAACTTTCCTAAAACATGAAGCCTGCATTTTATGATCGATGTTGTTAAGTTCACAGTCCAGTTTGTTTGTTTGTTTTTCATTTTTTAGTGACGTCCAAATAACTATCAGAAACCACCACGTAAGTAGGGAATTGGAATTCAAATGATTAGTATTTTATTAATTGGAATGAGTTGAACATTGTTTACTCTATTTCAAAAACTAGTAGATATAATTGAATGCTTTGGAACAAGTTTGGGCATTAGTTAACTTTAAATTCTATTTGGTGCAAGCCTGCCGAAATTTTCAGCTATACAACCTTGTCTTTGTTGGTTTTGGGCTTTAGTAACATAATGAGTGGCCCAGGCTCTAATTTGATTTCAACATCCATTTGGGTCTGGGCCTGATCCTATAACTGCCCAGTCACTTTCATGAAATATAAATTTGGGCTGGTTAGAACCAATTGCTAAAAATATTTTATTTGTTACTTATTATGTTGTTAGAATTAACTGAACTGAAATTGAATCATGAAAATTGGGTCTTTTCAAATACATTAATTAATTAGAACTTGTTCGTTATTATTAAAGACAAATAATTAGAAAAAAAATCATAGTCACTTCAGGATTGGTTTTTAAATAAAAATGATGAGACGAGCCTCGCCAAATAAAAATGCAAATTGCGAGGCCCTCAATAATTGGTCATAATAAAATACTTAGAATTCGGAATGTCCGTCTAGCGAATTTCACGGCCTTCCCAAAAATAATAATACGCTAGCCTCTTTAGGCGCGTTCTTAATAATATTACCTCCCTAAACTCGGGTGCACATTTATGTGACCCAAATTCAAATCTCAACGGAGTCGAAATATGTCAACAACCATGGGTGCATTGATTGCGACGTAGTTCGAGACGCATTTTCGCGACATTGCAATTCTATTAAAAATAATAATAAAAGCAGATTAAAGTTAATAAAAGCACATAAGTTATAACATGTATAAAAATCAGATATTTAGCCATTACAACAATTTAAGCGACCGTGCTAGAACCACGGGATCCGGGACTGCCTAACACCTTCCCTCGGGTCAACAGAATTCCTTACTTAGAATTTCTGGTTCGCAGACTTCATTTGGAAAGTCGAATATTTTCCTCGAATTAGGATTCAAGATAAACCGGTGACTTGGGACACCAAAAGTCAAACCTATCCCAAGTGGCGACTCTGAAATAAATAAATAATCCCATTTTGAATAATGTCACTTAAATTGAAAAAACTCCCTTGCGCATTATCCTTCGGGGTAGGTGCGCAAAAAGGAAGTGTGACAATTATTTGCAATTGAGCCCCTGTGGTTAGTTAGGGCTGTCAGCTAAGGGATAGTGGATTATTTTAGGTCTATATATTTAGTACTGTAGCAATGTATCGGTCATGTTGAATGAAAATTGAGTCTTTCTTTTGTCTGCATTTCATTTATTTCTTTTTAGTTCTTGTTTTTCATTTCCATGACGATTCCAATGTGGGAGTCGTTACATTTGGTATCAAAGCCGATGATTCTCGGCTGTTTATCGATGTTAATGGCGGAGTCCGACAGAAGTTTGAATCAATTGGAGCAACAAATTCAAGCTTTTATGGATAGATCGAACAGACGACTACAACATATGAAAGAATGGTATCAAAATCGTTTTCGGACCTTCCATAGTTCACAAAATCAATATGACTTCCGAAGGTCGGTGAGGGAGTAGCAGGTTTCCAGTGACTCGTATGCATATCCTCAATATCCTTGCGCAAATCCAAGTGTTTATCGTGATTCTGGTAGGGATTTCACCGGTAGATTTGCTAACCCAACGGTTGAAGGATGGAATTATCTCAATTCACCATAAGTGCTTACTCTTACAAGGTTCCATGTGCTTACCAATTTGACAGTAACTATGCGGGTTTATATATCGTTCAGATGGGGGGTGGTACTGTAGTGTTGGTAACAGCTACTGCGCCTACACACGGAGATCCTCTAACGATGGTGGCAAGATTTCGGAGGAACATGAAGAAGAGAGGGTACTTCAGTGCCTGCCATGGCCATATCGAAAAACTCGGGAAACATGCAGGAGGTAAAGGAAACGCCAGCAAGATGCACCATCACAGAATCCCCTTTGGCAAAACCATCCTGCTTATTTCGGAAAAGTGAGTATGAGGTATTTTCACAGAAGCATGAACTTATTGCTTAAGAAAGGATAGTAACATCATCTGCCCAGAACGACATGGCTGAGCAAGCAGTACATGATGATGAAGAAAATCCATTAGAGGTTCCTCTGTCTAAATTGGTGGAAGATGTGTTCGATGAAATTCCTAAGAGGAATGAAATTGATCTTGATGTTAAGAAACTAATTGATGTGGGTGAGGATTCGCAACAAGAGGTCCTAAAAGTTGAAAGTAGACTTGAGAAGAAGTCTGAAATAAATGAGGAGCATGTGTTTAATAAAAATCCTCAAAAGAACGAAATTGAAGTGTTGAACAACAAGCAGTTAGTGGTAGTAACATCATCTCACCAGGAAGGCGTCATAAAGCAAGTAGTACATGAGGACGAAGAAGAAACACTAGGACAATCGAAATTTGAAAATAACGGCATTGGGGATGGACGAAAGGTGTAGGATGAAGAGGATAAGGAGGGCAAAACAAAGGAAGATCAGGTGTTTGATGAAAGTCGCCAAAGAGGTACAGCTGAGATTACGAGCCAAATAGCAGATAAAGAATCATTTCGTGTTTCTTTAGGAGACCAAGGCTACTTATTGCCAAGTGATAATTAAATTTTATTGTTGAATATGAGGAACCAGCACAAAATAGTAAAATTTCTTCAATTGTTACACAAATAGAGATTGAAGTTGCGGATGCTGGTAAGAGTGTTACTGCTAGAGCTAAAATGTCAATTGTAACTGCTCATGTTTCCTTTGGCATGCCGGAAATGTGTGTGTTGCTTTTCGATTATCATTTTGGACAATTAGTTTGTTTAGGAACCTTGAAAATGGGATTTAGATGTGAGGTGTTAGCAATGAATTCTATAATGAGTAGGTACTTAGAATGTGGGAAGAATTGGGTTATTGTCAAACTATTCAAAGAAAGACTGAATCGAAATATGATCTCGAAAATTGTGATGTTGTATTGTTCTAATTTGAATCGTAAAAGCGAGAAGGGATTGAGACTTTCAATACCTGCAGTGGCTTTCGTGGTCCATTACTGCAAATTGTTAAGTTGTTTGGTATTAATAGGAGTCATGATTCATCTAGATTCATGAGAAGTTCATTGATAACTTTGTATCCCAAGCGGGGTAAAATTGAAGGAGCTTATAGTGCTTCTATAAATTTAGGTATGTGGAATGATATGTTGATTGTATGTGCGCAACAAAATGAAAGATTACTATTGCATAGTGTTTCCAGTAATGCGGTGCTTATTTCGCTTAGTGTCAGTCCCTCATTCTGGTCTGAAGTTGTTGGGAAGATATGTGGTTGGATTAATAGTGGCTGGATATCTTCTTCAGCTATGATGTTTGGGGTCCTCTATTTTACTAATGAGCTGCTTGAATGAATCATTTATTTTGAGTACTTTTGGTACAATTGCCTTGTGGCCATGTTACTACTTCTATTATTTTGTTTCCTACTTAATATGATTGGTTTTATAAGTCAAAATTGTACAAATGATTTGCTAATTTTTCCTGAAGAAAAGGTGGAAATACCGGTGAAAGTTAATGAGATTACATTTACTGGTATTCCTAAAGCTATGTCAGTGTCCTTGACTATTTGTGAGATCTTATTTGCTGTTGGAGTAGAGTATCACAGAGTGGTAGTAGCTACATCTATCGCCTATAGGTTGGATAATCATAATAAGGGTCGCTTGAGATGTGCAATAAGTGAAGAGTTTGACGCGTGTGGTATACTATGCTTCAGTTTGAAGAGCTTCAACAAAGATTTCTTTGATCTAGGACGGATGGAGTTTGATTATTATGATTTGTTTGATGTGAAGCTCTTGGTGCAATGTACTGTGTTATGGAATCAAGAGAGTCTGATGCTACTAGTAGCAAAGTTATTACAGTCAGTATACTACACCGTGGAGTTTGATCAGAATGATGAAAATTATTCCAGCAATACTTGATGCTCATGGTAGTACACTATATGACACTAACTGAAGTTGTCCTTTTGGGAAATTATGCGAAGAAATGGTGGATAAAGAGTCACTGGGGTTCACCATTGAAGTATATTGTACCAAGCAGAACTGGTACATTTGCAGTGATAACAACAATGATTTTGCTCCAAGTTGGCCCGTTGTTGGTTGCTGTATCATTTGCTTTAACCTTTGGTTATCGCTTACTTTGTTGTGTTAGTGGCTCTCTTAGATCTATGGCTAATCAAACAAAGGCTAGTAGTTTTAAGCTGGGAAATTCTACGAATGAAGCCTTGGCTACAACAGTTGGATTTTCTTATCTTTTTGGAACATTTTCAATCAGTGCACTACTTTGCCTAGTAATCATGAACAACTTGGCACAAACTATAGAACTTTTTTATGTATCCTCTGCTAATAAAGTACCTGGGAGTAACAAGCTGATTAGGATGTTTGAAGGAACTTATAATGTTGCTTTCGTAGAGACCATTTCCCTTTGTGCTCCAGTTGGTGATCATCTGTGGCTAGTTGTTGGCATAGTATCCAATATTGTTGTTGGAAATTCATTGCCCTTCATTGAATCATGTCTTCCCAATGTTTGGAAACATACGATGACCACTATTCATAGCAGCAAGTTTCTGCAATGCAAAGAAGACAACTGGCTGGAGCACTACATTCTCAATTGTTTGTGTGAGCACGTGATTTTTCCCTATGTGAGAATTACTCCCAAAAATTCAAAATAAAATAATTTTTTCTTTGTGCGCAATTTTGAGAATTTTCGTGGTATTTTTGGATAATTATTTGTATTTTGTCTGTGCATGTTTATTTATTAGATTAATGAAAAATACAAAAAAATGTGTGTTCCATGTGCATTTAGGATTTAATTTTACAATTTAGGAATTAACAAGTTTGTTTTACAAAATGGGAAAATCACAAAAAATATGTACTTCGCATCTTTTGCATTTTATGTCCGAATTGTGTTATTTTTATCGTTATTGATATTTAATTTCGTGTGACAGCTCTGGCGACTCTGCTGGGGACGACCCAGAATCTCTGGTTCAGGGTTCAGAATTCGAGCTTAGATAAATTGTTATATTTGGCTTTATCTGATTTTTACATGTTTGGGCCTAAGGTGTTAAATGCTGCTTTTACCACTTTGATATTATCTGAACTGTATATAAACTGTGCCGAAACCCTTCTCTTCTTACCTCTGGAGATGTGTTTGTTGGTCGAGACTCCCTATTCTGTTAGTGTCAATACCTGAAATAAGAAAGAGGCCGGACAAGTTACTAAGCCGGATGGCCTTTTGGTTCCCGGTACGTAGCCCCCTCCTCGACTCGAGTTGTCCGCTCAAGTACACAGTCTAGAACAAATACCCAGGTTATGAATCTAGAATAACTCAGTTTCATGCCGGATCCCTAATAGGAACGTTTGTTTGCATCACGTGCATTTGACTTTGAAGGCTCAACACGGGGGTTGGGTCTGTCTAGGACAAGTGTACCAAAAAATGAAAATGACCATCCTGATACATCTTACTTGCTTCTACTTGTGAATTTATTTGCTTCGGATTTGCATGCTGACCGGCTTTTGAGGAAAGAGAAATAGCAGTGTGAGGGTTAAAAAGAGTTAAATCGCATGTTTTGAAAACTAGTGTCCAAATAGTGGCGAAACTCTGCCGAATTTTTAAGAAAATGAAAAAAAGAAAAGAAATGAAAAAAAAAGAGAAAAGGAAAAAAAAAGGGTTTTTGTTTATGAAAAATAGTTTTATTTGCCAATGGAAAAAGAGTATTGTTTTTAAAAGAAGTTTGTTTTATCGGCCCGAACTACGCCGGTTTGATTCTCACCGGATGTGAGATACGTAGGCAACCCTCATTGGGTCCAACCTCCCCTTTTGCAAAAACATTCAAAAGAACAGAATTTACTGTTATTTGGAAAATAGTTATAGTAATGTCATTCTTGTCAGAAATAGCCGAATGTCCTTAAAAAAGGCGCCGAAAGGCCGTTTTTACAAGAACGGCCACATGTGGTCATTTTTCGCAAGGCTTTCATCAGTGAGCCGACACAGCCTTAAAATCTTTGTTCTCGAAGTGCTGAAAGGCCGTATTTGCGAAATCGGGTTTTTATTTTTATTTTTGAAAAATGTGTGTTAGTTTTATTTTGAGTCAAATAAGTCTTAAATTTTAAACACCCTAATAAATGTGCAGAATGAGCATAGATCAAAATTTACACATAACAATAGTGAACAAGATCCCTTCGGAGTTGCACATATGGTGGGATGACTTAGGCGAATCAGGGCGCGACACGGTCAAGCTATACCTGGGAGACCTCACTGGGTTGCTGAAGATTAATCCTAGGGGAATATCATAAAAGTTGTTGTTATATTTTGGGACACAGCCCACAATGTAGTCCATTTCTCAGATTTTGAACTCACCCCAAAAGAGGTAGCAGGTTATAGGGACATTACTGAGGGGCTAAGGCACAAATATCTGATTGCCTCAAGAGCCGTCAATACGCGCCAGTTCATGGATCTACTAAAGATAAGCAAGGGAGTCCCGTACGCTGAGTCGGATAAAGTTTTTCTACTCTGCAGTTCATGGGCATATAGGGGGAATCAACGATCCAAAAAGCGGGGTTTGCAGCAAAGGAAATCAGACAAAATGGGATGAACATAGGCGGTTCGCCTTCATGGTAGCATCCTTAGGCATTGTGGTGTTTCCCCGAAAAGATAGAAATATTGATTTAAAGGGGGCAGGAGTCGTCAAAACCCCGATTACCGGCAACAAAAGCACGCTTGCCCCTATGATGACATCCGAGATGTACCGAGCTCTCACAACTTGTAAAGCCGAGACCGATTTCTTCGAGGGGTACATTAAGCGCGACCAAGGCATACGCGGCGAATAAAGAGGGACTACGAAGGAAGCATCACTATATTGAGCAAAACAATATCCACTCTCAAAGAGCGGATCTTTAGACAAGCCCAAGAGGCCAGAACAGATAGGAAGCGCTGCTATGATCCGATGGCCCGGATGGAGAAAC